AGAAGAAGAAGAAGAAGAAGAAGAAGAAGAAGAAGAAGAAGAAGAAGAAGAAGAAGAAGAAGAAGAAGAAGGGGGACAGAACACTCCCTCATTTTGAGAGAGACCAAAATTTGAAACCCCCATGGTGCAGAGAGCCCTCTCACCATCTGGCGGAATGCCTTAGAGTCCTTGGTCCGGGAGAAAGCACGGTCAGGCGCCCAGCGTGGCATCAGTCCTTCCATGGAGTTGGCCCGTGTCCGCTGCAGCTTGGCCAGCATAGCTTTCTCCTCTTTCTGTATGAGCAACATAAACGCAGGCTCAGACGTGGAACCCCAAGAAGGCCTCTGCTAGTACCCCCCTGTTTGCTCCTTCCCCCCTGTCCCTCCCAGAAGCCCTGCCCTGGCCCCTGACCCGTTTCTGGCTGGCGCCCAGGATGAGGAAGGTCTCGATACACTGCTCCTTGAGGTACGCGTTGCGCTCACCACCACGGCCTGGTTCCACCTCATAGTCCCCATTCAGGTACTGCAGTGTGGCCCGAGTGATGTGGATGCGACTGCATGGAGCCAGGAGGTTACTCCCCCCCCCCCCCCCCCCCCCCCCCCTGCCACAAACTGGACACTTCCACTCACCCAGCTCGGCCCCCAGCCTCCATGTGGTTGGCCAGGGTCACATCGTTGGACCATACATCAAACTGCCATTTCCGCAGGCCAAGGACACCGCAGTGCACGCGTCCACTGTGGATGCCCACACGCATGTTTACATTTACACCTGTCACTTCACGCACCAGCCTGGGAAGATGCAACTCTAGATCAGCTCTAAGCTGTCTTCTCATCCTCTAGTCAAGAACCCAAGCTGAGGCCAGCAAGATGGCTCAGTGGTAAAGGTGTTTGCTACCAAGCCTGATGACCTGAGTTTGATCCCTGGGACCCACACATTAGGAGAAAATTACATCCAAGTTATCCTCTGACTAGAATACATGCACCATGGCAGGTTCATCCACACATACATACATACACAGAGAAGAGTGAATAAATAAATGTGATTTGATTTTTTTTTTTAATTCAAGCAGTGCAGTCAAAGATAGAAACAAGCCTGGACAGAAGCTCAGCTTTGACTAGACACAGGCAGGAGGCTACCTGGAGTTCAAGGAAAAAGGCTTGAGAGCTATGTCCAACAGGAGCTGCCACTGTCCTGCAGGACTGAGCTGTTGCCAGCTACAGCCTGCCAGCTGGCATTCTCTGCAACCGCAAAGCCCTACTGCTCCAGCTCCCTGCACCCTTCAGCCAGGGGTCAGAAGGAACACAGGGGTCACAGCACAAACTGGGGAAAGATCCATTCCCTTCCCCATTGAAAAATTCATCTCACCAGGCGTTGGTGGCACACGCCTTTAATCCCAGCCCTCGGGAGGCAGGGGCAGGCGGATCTCTGTGAGTTCGAGACCAGCCTGGTCTACAAGAGCTAGTTCCAGGACAACCTCCAAAGTTACACAGAGAAACCCTGTCTCGAAAAAAAAACAAAAAACAAAAAACAAAAAGATACACAGAGAAACCCTGTCTCGAAAAAAAAAACAAAAAACAAAAAACAAAAAGAAAAAAAAATCCATCTCAAAGATAAAGAAAGCTATGAACACTGGGGAAAATTCCTACACATCAGAGTAGGCGCAATCTGGGAAGCCACAGGTCCAGAAGGACTGGGGAGGGGCACTACTTACGAGATGGCCTCGATCATGTCCACTCCCATCTCCACACAGCAGTGGGCGTGGTCTGCCCGGGCCTCGGGCAGCCCCGACACACAGTAGTAACAGTCCCCTAGGATCTTGATCCTCAGACAGTGGTTCTCCTAAAGGGGGAGTAGTGGAGGATCACCTTCACTCTCCTGATCACCGGGCACACCTGGCCCACCACCTTCAACCCCACCTCTGCCCCCACACACCCCACAACTGCAGCACCCTCACCGCAGCCAGCTTGTCAAACCGGGCAAAGAGCTCATTCAAGGTCATGACCAGTTCCTGCGCAGTGCACTGGGAGGCCAGGCTGGTGAAGCCCTCGATGTCCGCAAATAGGATGCTGTGGATAACAGCAGAAGAGAGATGGGCCTTCTAGCCCTCAAGGACTCTTTGATACCCGACAACCCTCTTGGCATCGTCCCCTACCCCCATTCTACCTGACATTATCATGCTTCTGGATGTAGATCTTATGGAACATCATGTCTTCTTTTTTTGTGTTGATGTCTTCTTTCATCTCCATGGCAACATGCTGGGGCAACACCGATAGCAGCAGCCGTTCCTAGACCAGTGGTTCCAACCACTATCCTCTTTGCTTTCCATTTTGATCCTTCTTGTTCCCTTCATATTACCGGAACCCTCCCATATCTCTTTGACCTGAGTTTTCCTTCTGGACCTTGGCCTGACACTGCCTAACACTGCCCTCAGAAGTCATCTATCCTAGCTCTCTTGGACCAATCTCCACTTAATCCCCACCCTCTGAATGCACTCCTATACACTCCCTCCCACCCTTGAACAGGACAGGAGCCCCAGGGGCTTTTGTGATGCACAGTTCTTGGGGACCACTCATACTGTGTTCCATAGCCACAGCATGGACAAGGTGACAGGTCTGATCTACAAGGTACTGAGAGAAAAGAAAAGGAATACCCTAGCTAAGGGAAGTGGCCCCCACCTGCTGGCGATTCTCATGCTGCAAGTGCAACCGGGCCTGGATGTAACCTCGGGTCTCCTGAAAGGCTTGGCGCTGAGACACTTCAGCAGGGTAGTGTGTGCAGATGCCGATGACATTGGTGCAGAGAAAGAGCACCACATTAGCACCGAGCTGTAGGATGGCACAGGTAAATGAATGGCCACCTCACGCACCCATGCACCCACACACCCACGCACACTAGCTCCTGGGCTCTCTCAGGACATACTTTGAGCAGGAAATGAAGTCCTGCATGATGTTTGTCCCCAAGCTGTTCCATCTCTGTGAAACACTGTTCTTCCCTACAGAACTCCAGATTCCAGCCTACCTATATTATTCTGTGACCAGAAAGATGAACTTTTCACGGCTTCAGGAGCAAGAATACAACAACCACAGCCACATAGGTTATGGGCCCAGCCCCAGTACCCTATAATCTCCCCCCCCCCTGCCCTGCCACAAACAACACTAACAAAAGACCTCTTCATGTGGTTCTCCCCACAGCACAGCACCAAGGAGGTCTGAGCTTCCCATCTTCTTCTGGGTGAACCAGATGAACCAGGACAAGTCACTTCCTCTCTCTAGGCCTCCATTTACTCAACTACAGCCCAAACAGGAGGAATAATATCTCTAAAGCCACCCCTGCCTTGGTCCTGCAGACTGACCAACACAGAATGACCACTGTTGGGTTTTGTTGTTTACTGTTGTTTGGTGGTTGAATTTTTGAGATAGGGTCTCACTATGTAACCCAGCCTGGCCTCAAACTCATGGCTATCCTCCTGTTTCAGATTCCCAAATGATGGGCTTGCAGGTGTAAGTTACTATAGCTGTTGTTGTTATAGTAGCCAGTTTGCTGGGCACTTGCAATGACTAGGATTCTAAGGATGTGTTCCATATACCAACTGATGGACTTCTTACAAGTCTATGAATGAGGTAACAGTATTCTACTCCACAATTGAACGAGTCAAACACAAAGGAACCCAGCTACTTGCCCAAGATCCCATAGTTGGTTATGGCTGGCATGAGACTCGAATCCTGGACAATCAGACTCCAAAGCCTGTGTCCTAACCCCACTGTCTAATATATTCCAGATTTCTGAAAGATCTTTCTCCACTGACCCTTACTCTTGAAGGCCAGCCTCAGAGCACAGGCATGGCAGCCATCAGCTCTACTAGTAGAAAGAACGCATGGCCACCCCTACCATTAAGTATGAATCTCCTCCTCCCCTCTCCCCTCTTCCTCCTCCTCCTCTCTCTGCCCTGCCCTCCAACTCTTACATACATACCTCTTCAAGGCCTCATGCCTAAGCCCTCACCCTCAGCATAGTCAGTCCCAAATCACCATCACTAGAACTGACTAGACAGCAAGTCCGAGAGAAGCCTGCCTCAGCGTTGCTGGAGACTCAGGGGTTAACATGGCACTGGGCCTCCACCCAAGCTGAATGGGGCAGGGCTATGGTTAGGGAGAAGGGAGGGAAGGCACACCAACTGCCCTGAACCAGAACTAGCCCTGCAGACTTGGACAGAACATTTAATCTTTGATTCCTTGGTGTAAAACTGAGGTCTGTCACTCCTAGCTCCTAACTCCAGCACTGACCCTCAGCTGCCCTTCCCAGTCCACGCAGCTCCCAGAGAGCCTACGCAGAGCTCCCCCTCTCAGTAGCAGGGGTGAAGAGGGGCCACTCTATCTCCCTTGGGGGCTTCTAAGAATAGCCCCCCGGGGGGGAGTAGGAGGGGGGCAATCCAGGCAACTTCCCTTCCTGGCCCCAGGAGCCCAAGAGGAAAATGTGAGTCACAGTGGAGGGAAGGAGAGTGAAGAGGGACTGAAATAACCACACACACCCCTATCTACCGTGAGAAAAATGGGTGCCAAAGCTCTAGAGGCCACCCCAGCCTAAGCAATGTCACTGCTCAGTGTGTCTGCATGGGTGGATTAGGAAGAAGAGCTCTTCCTAGGAACATGAATGAGGCTGCATTTGGGAAGGGGCTGCCCAGGGAGGCGACAAGCCCCTACTCCATGCAGAAACACAGGCCCCAAAGGGCACATGGGATTGTTTTCAGTTCCCAGAGGCTGAATGGGCAGCCGAAGCCACACAGATGGGCATGAGCAGCCCAATATTCTCTACCATCCCAGGAATGCATCTGCAGAGACCCCACGGGGTGAAACTGAAGCCAGGAACCTTGGGGAGGTAGGAGGTTGGCAGTTCCGGGCCTCCCAGGCTCAGCCTCCCCATAAGGCACTGGGCTGGGCCCTGGGCACCAGGCCAGCTGAGAGCAGGGAAGAGCCACACACCCACCTTCTGGCAAGTATGGCAGAAAGGGGGAAGGGAGGCCCCAATCCTAAGCCCTAAGCGTCTCCTCTAGAAAAGCAGTTCTTCCCAAACCGCACCGCACAGGCAGCCTAGAAGAGAACCTAGGAACTAGCAGATATAGGTCTGTCCCTTTAAGAGGTCTGATACTGCCCTGTGGGCACTTGCTGCACCACTAACTAGCTATAAAGTTACTTTTAAAAAGGTATGTTCTGTTCCAGGCTAAGACAGGCACCATGCCAGAGCACCCAGCTTCTCACCCCAGGAGCCTCAGGCAACTTTCTGTTTGTGAGGCCATCGTGGCCTATGGGCCACAGCCTTTGGCAAGGAGAAGGGGTCTCGCTTGTGGGAACATCACACATAACCACCTACAGCTGTATCTTGGAGCTGACACCAGAGCTTGAGTCTCAGGGGTCAACAAGAGGTCAGAGATGCAAGGCCTGCACACAGCATGTCTACAGACTATACTACCTCCCCTGACCTAGGCCAAAAAGCTGAAGACTGGCCTATCGTGACACACTACAGACCTGGTCCTGGGACTCTCCCACTGACACAAATCCCAATCAGAGGCCAAGCCCTGAAACCCCAGCCTGACAGACCTAGATGTCCCTATATGGTCTCCCTCTTCAGCAAGTCCCCTTCCCACTCCTACCCAGTGCACCCTACGGCACCTACCTGATTCCAGAGGAAGGGGTCATCACGGTTGAGCTGCCAGGCCAAAATCAAATGCAAGGCGGAAAGGCCCAGGCCACTGAGCACTGCGGCTCGCATGCGGATGGGAAGAAGCGTGTAGGTGATGTAGACAAAGAACACAGGGCACCAAAGGCCTGCTGAGGGGCTGCGTGGGTTGGCTGCCAGGGCACCCCCGACTTGCACAGCTGCTAGGATGCCCAGAACCACATAGCTCACCACCCACATGGAGTCCTGGCGAAAGCTGTGTCGGTTACACAGTATCATGAGTGCCACAAACAGGGTGGCGGCACAGGTCAGCAGGGCCACATAAGCAGGCTGAGGCGGGGCAGGTGCAGCGTGGAAAGCCAAGAGCACAGCTGTGAGTAACACGAGCACCGCCATGAGGAGCGTGAGGCTGCTCTGGTTCATCTGGAAGAAGTACCGCTGGTACAGACGCTCCAGCTTGGCAGAGCGGAACTGCTTAGACTGGAAAACCTGCACCAGACGGTGCCAGCAGGAGTGACTGCTCCTAGGCGATGTATCAGGTGCCACTTCAGCTGTCCCCACTGGTGTTGTCACCTCAGTGTCATCAAAACCCAAGGCCACTGACCGCAGCCCCAGCTCCATGCCCCTGCCTGGGCCAGCCCTCCTGAGGAAGGCCTCATCCTGCCAGGGGCACCGAGTGTGAGCCGCAGGAGTGGGGCTGGGTGGCTCTGCATCCTTCAGACAGCTCATGTAGCGGGGTGTGCAGAAGCCACCGGCCCGAGTCCCATGGCGTGGGCGCTTCTGCCCGTTGCGTTCTCCCCTTGCTGTCTTCCGTTCATCCACTTTGGGAACCAGGAGGCCACTAAACCATGACATGCTGCTGGGAGGAAGGGCGTGGGATGGCATTAATACCACTGTTGGGGTCACAGCCACCACAGTAGCTTATTTCCTATGGAAAGGACACAGCGGCCATACAAGGAAAAGAACCAAGATCCTAAGGGCTGGAGAGATGGCTCAGAGGTTAAGGGCACCCTTTGCCCTTCCAAAGGACCTGGGGTTCAATTCCCAGCACCCACATGGCAGCTCACAACTGTCTGTGAGTGAGATACAGGAGATGTGGACACCCTCACACAGATATGCATGCAGGCAAAACAGCAATGCCCATAAATGTAGATTTTAAAATTAAAAAGTAAGATTCTCAGCTTGACTGACCCCCAAAGCCAGTACACTTAATAATTTGCCCTTTCCCTAAAGTGAATACTGCTTTTTTTTTTTTTTTTTTTTTTTTTTTTTAGACAGGGTTTTTTTTTTTTTTTTTTTTTTTTTTTTTGAGACAGGGTTTCTTTTCGTAGCTCTGGCTGTCCTGGAACTCACTCTGTAGACCAGACTGAACTCACAGAGCTCCATCCATCCTCCTGACTCTACCTCCTGAGTGCTGGGATAAAAGGCAGGCACCACCACCACCCACTAGTATGGACTCCTTCATCACCACAAGTTCAGGTTCCCTTGTCAAGGACATAAGAACACATCCAGCAGACTGAGACTTGGGGACAGGAACCAACTAGTGCCAGTTGACCAGTGCCATTGGTGCCCCAGTGGGGCATGAACTTCTGCTTTTTTTTTCAGCAGAATTCTAAGAAAATCTTGGATTTCAATGTGACATCTTCCAATTTTTAAATGTTGTTAATTTATATATAGTAATAGTACACAGAAGCCAAATAAATCCAGTCAATTGAATGAATTCTGCTGTGAACCACCAATCGGTGGCCTCTATACAAAAAGCACTCTCTTTTCACATCCTTCCTACACACACACACACACACACACTTGCAGTCACACATGCACACACTGACATACACACATTCGAGAACACACACACACACGTTTGCAGTCACACATGCACACACTGACATACACATACACACATTCGAACACACACACACACACACATTTGCAATCATGCATGCACACACACTGACATAAACATACACACATTTGAACACACACACAAACACATTAGCAAGCTGAATCCAATTTCTCCCACAGGTCACAGCTCAGTGTTAATTCCTCAGGGAAGATCTCCCAGCCCCTCTAGACAGTTTCACCTCTGTTCATTTCCTCCATAGTACTTATTGCAATTTATAATTAAACCATTCCTTGTTTAATGTATGCCTCTGTTCCTAGGACTATAAGCTCTGTGAGAATAGAAATTACACATTTTTTGCCAGCATTTTATCTCCAGAGCCAGGTACTAGGTCTGGATAACATTAGATAAAAAATGTACGACAAAAAAAAAAAAAAAAAAGACAGATAGGTAGGATGGGCATGGAGTGGAGTCCGGTAGTAGAATGCTTATCTAGAATCCTCAAGGCCTCGGGTTCCATGCCTAGTGTAACAGACAAATAGATGGGAAGGTGACAAGGAAGCTAGGGAACAGGGTAGTCAACATCCAATTACCGCTAATGACAATCCTCACCTTCCTCATTGCACCTGTCACATTAGCTGGTCTGCTGTTCCCCTGTACACTGAGTTCAGCCCAGTCTAGGACCCTGGTACTCACTGTTCCCAACTGGAACAAGAGCTCCTTCAGGTCACAGCCCAAGTCCCTTATCAGAGCTACTCTTACCAGCCTATTAAAATAGCAACTCCCTTTCCTGGGGCTCCCTATCTCTCTTCCCAGCTTTATAATTTTTCTCCCTCCATGGACCTTATCAGCAACGGCCATTCTATAATTTTTCTTATTTGTTCATTGTCTGTCACTCCTAACTGGAATGCCAACTTGTTGAAGGCAAGGATTTGGGTGGTTTTGGATTTGTTTTGTTTTGTTGTTGATTTTGTTTTTGCGTACTGCGGTGTCTACCACTCCTACGTGTTTGCTGACAGGATGGACGGCCGTTAGCAATAGTATATGTTCTCTCTGTCATAAACTTCCAAGATCCTTTCACATGCTTATTTTCATCTGTTCTTCGCCAAAAGCCTGTGAAACCACTCCTAAAAACCAGGGGTCAGGGGGAGAATGGGGCATATTTGAAAGAAAAACAAAGGGTGACATCCAGGACAATTTTCTATAGCTCACTCACATAGAGGCCCCTGGACAAGCAAATCGGTTTTAGATTCTAAATTTCTGGGAAGGACAAGCATTGGACTGAAGGGGATGACTCTATGACCTTGCCATGTGTCCTAACTGTGCCTGGACACAGAGATGAGCATGAAAGCCATGTCATCCGTGGATGACACCACCACCAGAGCCATGCCTCCACGCCTGCAGGGCAACCTGAGGGGCCCACTGAGCTGTCAGCACTGACATTTGTACTCACTAGGGAACTAGAGAGCAACTTACATAGCACCTGCCCCAGGTGGCCACAGATCCAGACACTCAGGAAAGAAGAACAATACTCCAAACAGCTGCTGGGGGAACCCAAAGCAGAACTTGAGCTGGGGACTTCTCTGCACTCCATCTCTGGGTCTCCCTCAGCCAAGTTCCTCCAGTGTCCCCTCTGTAGCCACAGGGTAGCATGCCCTTCAACTTCCTTATGCCAAAAGCACCATCTTGAAGGACAAATCAGAAGTATGACTTCTGGTCAGGCTGGCATTTGGAAAAGGTCACCAAAGAAACCCTGGCTCTTCAAAACACTTCACTGGAAGCAGGATCTCTGTCACAAAGCCAGGTTTCAAAGCTTAAAGTGATTTACCATCCTGCTGGGACAAGCTATCTACCTGCCCCCACCCTATGTCAGTTTTTTCACCTGAAAAGTGAGTGTAATGGTTCTGAGGAGAGACTCTAATACTCCCTGCCATGTCGTACACTGTAACTATTAGTTCTTCCCACCTTACAAACCTTTGAGTGCAAAGCTCTGCCAATGTACAAGAGATGGAAAGACAACAGTCATAAGCAAGAACATGTATTCCTCCAGCCAATCAGATGCCTGGTGCTATTAAGCCCTATGTCCCCTGCTGTCAGTCTCCAGAGCTGCTGGGGGCAGAACACAGAGCGCACAGTTTCCCACTATGCACCCCCTCCCGGGCTCCACATACCGTGACATTTTGCATCCGCCTCCTCCCATTCTCTAGTCCCCTTCCCTCTCTTATCTCCGTTCCCCTGACCCCACTGGCCCAGGTCTCTGTTCCCAAAGGACCTGTTTCTGGCCATGTTCCCAGCCCCTAGAAGCTCATCCTAGCATCTGGTTCATACCCACAGAGGAAGGGGCAGACACTATCAGGGAAACATATGACCCTTCAAGAACACACTGACTCCCCAAGGGGATAGATAGCTTCAAAGCTCTGTTCAACCAACTGTGACCATCTCACCCTGGGCTCTACTCAGGCACTGCCCACCCTGGAGAACTTGCAGGGCTCTCGGCACTCCTCTACGCCACGCTAGTGTATCAGAAAGCCAGAAAGCATTGTTCCAAGCCACAAAACTTCTCTATAGTTCCCCCAAACCTCCCTGTTCCGGGACCCCTCACCATGAATTCCAAAAGTACAGACCATGTCCCTCTTCGGCCTTCAGGCTCTTGAGCCTAGTGCCTCTCTGACCTCCTCCTCCCCTGAGTCCTGGTCCCTTTGCTCTCTCTCACAGATCTGCTGCTCCATATACAATCTGCTCCCACAGCCAAAGCCATATCCATTTAGTGCCAAGTCCCACAGTCCCAGGCCCAGTTTCTCCCAGACCTCAAGTCCCTCCCAAACCCTGATCCTGCAGCCTGAGCCCAGGGTCTGGAAGCCAGGGCTTGGCCTCAAGAACGGCTCTGCCCACTCTTTCACCAAACCCTCTTCCTGGCCACCTCTCAGCCACCTCATCCCCAGGGTCTGTCTGCCCCCTTATTAGCAAAATGGTTTAAAAGACTTCAGAAAGTTCACATAGGAGACTATGCCCAGGGGAAGGCCTGACACTCACCATGCTGGAACCCAGCCCTCTCAATTTCCAGGCCTTTCCAGATGGAGAGGAACCTCCCCGGGGCCTGTAGGTTCAGCACAGCCTACCCCAGCTCTGGTTCTCTCGAAAGACCAAAAAGGGCTCCCATAACCAGCTCCAACTATACAACACCCTGTCAGGCCCTCTGGCTACAGAGTCACCCTAGGGACACAGGTACACGGAAAGGCTCTCCTGCCACCTAGTCCCACCTCTGGCTTTTCTGTCAGGCGGCTGGGCCTACTCTGAATAAAGTCTGCCCACACCCCACCCCACCCCTGCCCACCCTGCAACAGGCCTTGGTTGGGGAAGTAGGCACTGACACTACCCTTTCATTCCAAAGGTTAGGGTGAGGGCAGGGAAGGGGCCTCCCTCTCCTCCCAGCTCTGTCTCCCACACTCCAAACTCACTCCCCCATCCTCGATGCCAACCTCTGGGGGCATCTCCTCCCTTCGAGCATGCCTGCTTTGCTTCTCTGAGCAAGCCTGGAAACTCTGGCGAGTGCAGGAAGGAAAGCTCGTGGCATGGAAGAAGGGTGGAAGCCTCCAGACCTGCCCCAGGAGCTCCGGGTTCCCATCTCCTCCAGCACTTCCCTCCACCACC